TGATTTTATATCAGACATGGAAATTTACAGTCAAACTGTTGTTATCCGATAATTACAGATGCTGATCAGGATATCCTGAAAAAGTTGATTTATTTCAGTAATCTCATTTAAAAAGTGAAACTTACACATTATATTCATTCATTACACACAGACTGATATATTTCAAATGTTTGTCTTTTAACGTTTTGTAACATCTGTTGGTTTGGCAGCACTACAGAGGCTCAGAAGAAATCCTTGAGAAGTATTGTAACTACAGCCAGCAAACTGTTAGGGACTTCTTTGCAGAGTTTGGAAAAAATATACATGAACAGAGTTACGAAGAAGGCAAACAAGATTATAGCAGACAACACACATCCCCTAAGATCCTCATTTGATTTGCTTCCTTCAGGGCGAAGGTACTGCCTTCCTTTATTCTTAAGAAACAGAACAACATTTTTGAAAACAACAAAGTCCATGCTTGATAATCCAGTTTGACAAGACTGTCAACAAGGAAGAGGGCCGGCAATGGAGGAGGGGGCGTACCAAAGAGACAAAGAGACCATCTTATCACAAGCAGAACTGGTTTGTTCCACTTTGGAGTAAGCTGTTGGGGGAAGAATCAGTTTTGTTGTGTGTTTCTTTGACTGATGAAGTCTTCCTGACCGAAGGCGAAACGTTTCAGCACAAAAAAAAAAAGAAACTGTCCAGATGACCTGACTGAAAAATGTAGGACAACATTTTCTTTCATACCACAAGCAATTAAATCATTAAATAATAAAAAGATATCATGAATTACTGAGCTCAAACTTCTTTGCTGTAATGGTGGATGTTAATGTCACGTTAGTATATGTATGTCCTTTATGTAAATGCCTGCTGACAATGCTGCAAACTAATTTCTCTATGGGGACAAACAAACAAACAAACAAACAAACAAACAAACAAACAAACAAAGGTAGGTAGGTATCTATCTAATGTTGATTAATATAACTGACAACTAATGAAAACCCCAAATTCAGTATCTCAGAAAATTAAAATATTTAGAAAAAGATCAATTTTGAAAACACCTAGTGCCACACTCTAATCAGCTAATTAACTCAAAACACTTGCAAAGGCCTTTAAATGGTCTCTCAGTCTAGTTGTGTAGGCTACACAATCATGTGGAAGATTGCTGACTTGACAGTTGTCCAAAAGATGACCATTGACACCTTGCACAAGGAGGGCAAGGCACAAAAGGTCATTGCTAAAGAGGCTGGCTGTTCACAGAGCTCTGTGTCCAAGCACATTAATAGAGATGTGAAGGGAAGGAAAAGATGTGGTAGAAAAAAGTGTACAAGTGTAGTGACGGCAATAGGGATAACCACACCCTGGAAAGGATTGTGAAGCAAAACCCATTCCAAAATGTGGGGGAGATTCACATAGAGTGGACTGCAGCTAGAGCCAGTGCTTCAAGAACCACCATGCACAGACGTATGCAAGACATGGGTTTCAGTTGTCACATTCCTTGTGTCGAGCCACTCTTGAACAAGAGACAGCGTTCAAAGTGTCTCGTCTGGGCTAAAGACAATAAGGACACGTTGCTTGAGGTCCAGTGTCAAGTTTCCACAGTCAGTGTTGGTCCACTGTGTTTTCTGAGGTCCAAGGTCAACACAGACGTCTACCAGGAAGTTTTAGAGCACTTCATGCTTTCTGCTGCTGACCAACTTTATGGAGATGCAGATTTAATTTTCCAACAGGACTTGGCACTTGCACACAGTGCCAAGGTACCAGTACCTGGTTTAAGGACCATGACATCCCTGTTCTTAATTGGCCATCAAACTCACCTGACTTTAACCCCATAGAAAATCTATGGGGTATTGTGAAGAGGAAGATGCAGGAAGATACACCAGACCCAACAATTCAGAAGAGCTGAAGGCCACTATCAGAGCAACCTGGGCTCTCATAACACCTGAGCAGTGCCACAGACTGATCGACTCCATGCCACGCCGCATTGCTGCAGTAATCCAGGCAAAAGGAGCAACAACTAAGTACTGAGTGATGTACATACTCATACAAACTGGATTCCAAAAAAGTTGGGACACTAAACAAATTGTGAATAAAAACTGAATGCAATGATGTAGAGATGGCAAATGTCAATATTTTATTCGTAATATAACATAGATGACAGCTCAAAAGTTTAATCTCAGTAAATGTAACATTTTAAAGGAAAAATATGTTGATTCAAAATTTCACAGTGTCAACAAATCCCAAAAAAGTTGGGACAAGTAGCAATAAGTGGCTGGAAAAAGGAAATTGAGCATATAACGAAGAGCTGGAAGACCAATTAACACTAATTAGGTCAATTGACAACATGATTGGGTATAAAAAGAGCTTCTCAGAGTGTCGGTGTCTCTCAGAAGCCAAGATGGCAAGAGGATCACCAATTCCACCATTGTTGCGCAAAAAGATAGTGCAGCAATACCAGAATGGTGTTACCCAGCGTAAAATAGCAAAGACTTTTAAGTTATCATCATCAACCGTGCATAACATCTTCAAAAGATTCAGAGAATCTGGAACAATCGCTGTGCATAAGGGTCAAGGCCGTAAAACTCTACTGGATGCTCGTGATCTCCGGGCCCTTAAGTCAGAGAGTCAGAGTTTCTTTATTGTCATTCGCACCTCATGTGGTACATGTGGTGGAGCGAAATTATGTACGCAGGGTCCCAGTTACATCCAACAATAAAATGTATAAGAAAAACAGTAATGACATCTAAGATATGAACTAAGAAAAACATCAACTAAATATACACTAAGCACTCATAACATAAAACATTGAACATCAGCACAAACATGAACATGAGTCTGTGAGCAGATGTGCACGCATGAACACATCAACATTGAAACAGATCAGCAGCAACATGAAACAGATCAGCAGCAACATGATATGGTTTTTCACAGTGATTATTCTAGTTAGAGATTCATGAGTCTAACAGCCTCAGGGTAGAAGCTGTTCCTCAGTCTAGTGGTTCTACACTTAATGCTCCTTAACCTCCTTCCTGAGGGGAGTGGGGCAAAAAGTGTGTGTGCTGGGTGGGTGGGGTCCTTCATGATGCAGGTGGCCCTCTTCCTGCATCTGGAGGTGTAGATGTCTGTGATGGTGGGGAGACTGATTCCAACAGATTTCTGTGCAGCCTTCACCACTCTCTGCAAAGCTTTTCTTTCTGCAGCTGTGCAGCCTCCATGCCACACATTGATGCTCGAGCACAGGATGCTCTCCACTGCACACCTGTAGAAGGAGGTGAGGACTGAGCTTCCCAGACCAGCTCGCCTCAGCCGTCTGAGGAAGTAGAGTCTCTGATGAGCTTTCTTGATCAGGCTGGTGGTGTTGTTGCTCCAGCTGAGGTTGTCATTCATGTGTACACCCAAGTACTTGTAGCTGGAGACCACTTCCACCGCAGATCCTCTTATGTTCAGGGGGGTGTAGGTGTTTTTGTTCCTTCTGAAGTCCACAATCATCTCCTTTGTCTTCTTCACATTGATGTGAAGGTTATTCTCTCTGCACCAGCTCTCCAGGTGTTCCACCTCCTGCCTGTAGCTGGACTCATCATTGTTTGTGATGCATCCCACCACCGCTGTATCATCGGCAAACTTTACAATGTGACAGCCTGGATGGGTAGCTGCACAATCATACGTGAGCAGCGTAAACAGGATGGGGCTCAGCACACATCCCTGAGGAGAGCCAATGCTGAGGGTTATGGTGGAGGAAGAGAAGTTGTGTATCCTCACTGACTGTGGTCTGTTTGTTAATCCACAATGCTCTGAGAAACTATGTTAGCTCGTACTGTTCACATATAAACAAACGCCGGTTCTGGTTCACGCCGTAAGTCGCGCCCATAATTTACTAAAGCAGAATGGGAGCTAGGAAGAAGGTGGATACAGAACATTCAAAAGAAATGTTGCAACCCAGCAGGGTGAAGCTGATGGATGCATTCAGAGTAATGAGAGGCTCAGTTTGTACCTAACGTATGAATCAATTATGATGAAGAAAAAAAAAGAACAAGCCTAATACTAATAAAATATTGTATTAGGTGATACAGGAAAGGATAAATACTTTTTTCTTATGAGTACATGAAACTGCACCACTGGCACAAAATTAAAAAATTTACAGGAAGGGCTATAAATAAATGAATGAATAGACAAGACAGAGATAAATATAACTTCAATAAGAATAGAGAATAATAATATTAAATCATAAATGTAAAAAAGCAGTTTAAGAAAATTATAAATAATAACTTGGAGCATTTTAACATAAAAAGAGATAAAAAATATTAAAAATGAAGAAATATTAATTAAATGAATCTACAGATATTTTGTTTCTAAATCAATCCTCTTTTTAACACATTAACTTGAGTAACCACTAATGATGGCAAACAACATAATATGCTGTTTTAATCTGATTAAAAATATATAAATGTTCTTGGACAAAACATCTTGTATGAGGACAACTGTAGTTGAAAGATACTACTTAAATAAAAACGTTAAGTAGAAACAAACATGTAAAAAGCTACACTTTTCTGCTAATGCTCGACAGCAAACACACACACAGGTGACTCACACAGCCTGTTGTGTTCCTCAGCTGCAGAACAAAACAAAAAGGACTACTTTCATGTTCAGATCACTTCTCCTAATTAGAGCTGGGCCGTATAACACTGGCTGTAGGTCCGAGCAGCACTGCCGCTGCACAACTCATGAGTGACATTTCTGCTGGGCTGCACAGAGCTGACAACCAGCAGTAAACTGAACATCACTCTGCTCCATCGTCTCATTTCCTTCACACTCAGACATAGGAGCACCTAAATCTGCACACTGCATTACCTCAAAGCCTCAGAGATAACAATCTGGAAACAAATGCACTTTCCTCATGCTTGTTTTAGCTCTGTAAATGTGCTTCATCCATCATGTCCTCTAATTAGCAGTCTATACTTTGAGTACACAACCAGCTGTGTTGAGTGGATCATAAATTCTGTGTGTGTTAGTGTGTGATATCAGTTCTGCAGCCTCTGATTCTGGGGCGGGCTGTTACCTCGCAGGGCTGTTGGCTTTTGGATGAGCTGTTTGGGCTTTGGAGACGAGCGAGAAGGAGTTGTGTACCTCGGGATCTGAGCTGTGACTGGAAAACAGGGACATGTCAGTGTGGAGGATCTGACTTCATCCTGTCTGAGAGTCACAGGTGTACTGAAGAGTAAAGGCCTTTTCAGCCTGAGGTGCAGCCTGACGCCACCAGAGGGCTTTACAGACAAGCAGAGCAGCTTTTACAACCAGTCCACCAACTGAGCATAGGTGGTTTAGGAAACTCATGCTTTTACAGAGCAGAAAAGATAGTTAAAGAGGCAGTCAGTGAGTGTCCCACACGACCAGTGCAGCCAAAGCTAAGGCAGAAAAAGAATGAAGAACTAAAAGTTTCCATTGTTAAAGTTTTTGGCACCATGGGGTAAAAAGAACCTCTGATCTAATAAAAGGACCAACACTCCTCCCTGTTCCAGGAGCTGAGGCAGGATGAAGAGGTCACGACACGTTTAAATAGCTGAAACCTGCACTTTGACCCCTCTTCTATCCACCTTTATTAACAGAACAATTGCAGGTTCTGGATTAAAGTTAACATCATTACCCTTTACCTCCAGTTATAGGATTATGTTAAAGGGATAGCCTGTACTTACAGAGAAGGGACTTTAAAGGCTAAACAAAGAAATGTTAGTGAGAACACTACTCAGAGCAGCTCTGGGTTCTGTTTGCTGGTAACATGCTTGGATTCTGCATGTCAAGTTAAACCAAGACACAAAGAGAAGAGCTGTGTGTAGGATGTTACAAGAAGCACGAGCAAAGAGGATCCTTAAACACCAAAGCCAGCAGCACAATCCCTGTAGAGGAGGTGCAATCAGAGGGAGTTACACAGCACTCACAAAATAACCAGCATTAGATTATACAGCCTTCCCTGTTCCTCGACTCAGAAAACAAAACAAATATTGACATGACAGCAGAACATTTTAGAAAGTCCAGTTTGAAACTTGCTGCAGCATAAAGACTCATGAGTGTTTAACAGTGAAATCAAAGATGCTGCTGGTGATCATACTCACTCGCAGACTGACTCTGGTGTCGGGGGGAGCCTCCGTTTGGCACTTGCAGGTTAGACTCACAGCTGCGGCTGCTCTTGACGGGCTCCTGTGACTGAGCGGCGGCAGCGGCTGAGGAACGTGTGAGGTTAGGAAGACTACGACGCAGCTTTTCTACAACAGCAGCACAGTAAGGATTAGCTTGCTCTTAATAATCAGGACTTTGAAAACAGACGGTTCATGTTATATCTCTGCTCGTTCGGTTTACCTTCATTCTTCACCACATTGGTCTGCATGTCATGGCTGTGACCCTGCAGCGAGTGGCGAGGCTGCTGCAAGCGGCTGATGATGGGCTGCGGCGAGCCGCGGCCGTGGTTGTAGTCTATCGAACGAGCAGGTGAACGTGAGCGGGGAGAATTCCTGGGGGAGACGCGAGGAGAGTGACGAGGAGAGGGGCTGAAGCGGTTGGAAGGCTGGGGGAAGGCCAGGTGCACTGCCTCTTCCTCATCCTCCAGACTGTGTGCATCTAACTCCTGATCACTGAAGGCGCTGCGGCGCAGCGAGTGGCAGGATGAGCCCGAGCTCCGCCTGGACGCTGTTGCAGCATACTCCTGTCTCAAACCTTTTGACACACAGAAATGCTGTGAGAACAAAAAACATTTTTGGCTGCTGGAAACCAGAGATTACATGTGATGTTAAAACCAGGGACATACTCTCTTCCTGCATGCGTGCCATTATCTGGACATCGGTGACATCATTAAGTTTGTAGGTATTTGAAGAGCCGACGGAGTCCTCGTCCATCTCTGATGTGCTCAGCTCACTGTCCACTGATGACTGTGGACTAATTGCTGGAGGATTCCTCTCTGCTGCTGCATTTCTCTGGTGCACTGACGAGGAAACAAATAGTGAACCTTCCAGTGTTATACCAAACATATAATTAGGACTAGATTTTGAACTAACAACAAACTCATACCAGCGTTACTGGGCATTAACTGCTGTCGCACAATGGGCACTCTGCTGGGGGTTGAGGAGGGGGAGTTGAAGCCACTGCTGTAAGGGCTGTTAGCTGTATTTGTGCTATAAGGACTGCCGTAACCCTGCTGCAGATATGGACTTCCATACGTGCTCCTACGCTTGTTGGCTGCAGTCAAACAGAAATAAAACAGCAATTGATTTCATACAAAAATAAATGAAGAAAATCAAAACCCTGACACAATGGTGAAGAAATAAAAGCTTTTTGTTTCAAATTATACTTGTATTTTAGCCAAGTTATTCTTGATTAATCAGAAATGATTTATATTATAACACATGTAAATTTTAGTTTAGTGAAGGCAAAGCCAAGTCAAAGTTTCTGTAAAACTCTTAAAAACAACCATAGTTGATTAAAGTACTTTACAGTGTATAAGATCAATAAATAAATCAGATGAAATATTTTGGCTACAATCCAAAAGGTTTGCTCGGTGCAGGTACAAGACTGAGTAAAACATAAAACAAAAACAATAAACCTACAGTGAAACAGGGAGGTGGCAGTATCATGCTGTGGGTTTGTGTTTCTTCAGCTTTAGTCAAGGTGGATGGAATGATGAAAAGTTTAAAATATTTGCTTATTTTGACCTCATGCTTTTAGATGATAGCAGAAAAGTAAAAAATAAAAATGAACTTTTTTTTTTCCTAATAATGACCCCAACTATACATTGAAATCAACAAAAGAATGACTTCAAAAAACAACTATTTTTGGGGGGAATGATCTAGCCAAGATCTGAGCCTACATATAACAGAGTCTGGGTGGTGACCAGAACAGGGCTGAGCAGAAGAGATTCAGATCTGGAGCAGTCCTGAGTGCAGGTGTAGCTGCTAATAAAGTCATTCTTCAGACTTCAATCAGTTAATTCAATCAGAAGGTGATTCAAGAAATTATTCCTTTCAGGATGTGACATTTGTGCAACCAGCTTCTAATATAGTTTTGTTTTAGTAATGTTCCCAAAAACAATTTATTTATTTTAAATTAAGCTGTAAAGGATATATGTCACAGTAAAGGTAGCTGAGATTAGAAATTAATTAAGGTTTTATTTTTGTTAAATGACAAAAACCTTACATTTCATCAAAAATATATTGACTTTGTGTCAATGTGTGTATTTAAATACAAACACCATATACACACACTGTATATATATATATATATATATA